GATACCACAAAATTTACAATTTACATGGGTTCCGTAAATCTAGCTTTTAAGGTGTGGCCAGGTATAGGTTCCTGCACTAACATCTTGTCTCCTGGATAAAAGGAGCGAGACTTTGAATTTCTGTCATACCTTTGTTCCATGATATCTTGAGCTGCTTTTAAATTAGCCTTTGCTAACTGACGTGCCACCTGCAACCTTGGAAAAGGGTTGTAGGGTGTTACACAGGCGTCTTCTCCCATCCATCCTTCCCTGAACACCCGAAGAGGACATAGTACATTGTGCCCAAAGATCAGCTCAAACGGACTGTACCCAGTGGATTCCTACACAGTTTCCCTCATTGCAAACAACAACAGAGGTAGTGATTCATCCCAATCTGTAGGAAAATGTGTGCAAAAAGTTATTATGGTTTATAACGTCTGATGAAATCTTCCTAAGGCGCCTTGGGACTGAGGATGATAGGCAGTGGATAAGTTGTGAAATATTCTTAGCCTAGTTAATGCCTCCCTGAAAGCTTTGGCAGTAAAATTAGTACCTTGATCACACTGAATAGACCTAGGAATGCCAAATCAGGAAATAAAATTTGTTAAAGCCTTAAGAATTACTTTAGTATTGATACTGCACATGGGGATTGCCTCTGGGTATCTAGTAAATAAGTACTGATTCCCAGATCTGGACTTAAGTAGTGGACCTACACAATCTGTGATTAACTCTGCAAAAGGTTCTCCATCAGCAGGTATGGGATGGAGAGGTGCAGGTTTAATGGGATGTCCAGGTTTCCCTACTTGCTGACATTCTCTACAACAGGGGATATGATTCTTCACAGCATATCTTAAGTTTTGGCCAGAAAAATTCTTGTAATATTCCTAAGTGGCCTTCTAACGAAGAGTTATGAGCTATATTTAATATTTGTGGTTTAAACTTTTTAGGAACTACTAACCTGTCTGTCTTTTGTCTTCCCTTTATCTCCTTACCAGTCTCATTGCAGATTAAGAAGTTGTTTTTAATTTTATATTTGACTGGGTGATCTGAAGAGGATTTACCCATTGTTGCCTGAAAAGCGAAAATCAAGGAAGGGTCTTTTCGCTGTTCTCCCTGAAAGGACAGTCCCTCAGGCATGCAAACAAAGATATCTGGCAATACTGTAACCCTGGAATAGGAAAGCTTGATCAGGGTTTGTTCACTAAATTTACGAGGCTCTGGCCAGTTTTCCTCGTACAACAGATTGGTTATTCGGAGATCAGAGTGGTCCAAGGATGGGTTAGCATTCTCATCAGACAATGCTTGGGATTTTACCCGAGTTATGACCAACATCGGAGAAGAATTAGTCATTGCAGGTTCTGGATACGTAGTAAAATTAATATTATTACCTAGTAGTAACACGGCATCCAAAGAAAATCCGTCGGAAACACCTGCAGTCAAATATCCAGTGTAATGTTTACTCTACACATAGAGAAAATACTGCTCCTCCAAAAGCTTCAAAAAGAACGGATGATTGCAAATCTGTTTGTTCCGAAAGGGGAAGTACTTCCTCTCGTATCAAAAAACAAGATACCCCAGTATCTCTAAATGTTCATACTTCCGTTTTCTTTGAATCCTTCTGACGGGAGACTTGACAAGTGCCATAATAAGGTGCCATCCCCCACTCTACCTCTTTTTGTGTATTCCTGTTAACCCTTTGGGGCCTAGTTCCTAGGCCTTTTGTGTATCCATATGTTCTCGCGCTACCGTCCACAGGATGGATATGGGGTGCACAATAAACTAGCCACTTCGGTGGCAAAATCTAAAAAAAATCCTCTTTTTGAGTCATTTTAATATTAATGATTCTGCCTACTTATTGGGATCTTGCGGGACAGTTTGGGCTGATTTATTACACCTAAAATAAATTACCTCATTTTTAACCTTAGTTCCCTGCTGATGTTGTGGCTGGCAGCACTCTGGATACTGATGTTGGGATTCACCATGTTGGGTGGTTTGTCGCTCACCAGGTTGATCGTGGGTTGACTAGCATAGCTCAACAGGTGACTGAGTTGGTTGACGTTGCCGTTCACCTTCGTTCTGGCACTTTGTTCTCCAGTCTAGAACTCTGACGATCTCGACTCATGCGAGGCTGTTGAAGAGAGAAATAAGACAGCTATGCAAGGAACAGTTAGTTTCGAAAGCATCAGGCAACCTGGCTGCTTCCAGTGCAGTAGCCAATGAATGATCTTGCAAAAAAATTCTAACCTGTGGTCCAACTGACCCCAACAAGTTATCCACCAAGATTAGTTTAACAAGATCCCCGAAAATAGTGGCACCACTTGCCTTGTACCAGTGGGTAAAGACTTTGGTCTGTTTTCTTACAAAATCAACGTAAGACTGACCCAGCTGTCGTTTGCTTATTTTGAACTCCTTCATGTACTTGGTAGGAATACATTGATAAGCCCCAAGAACCGTGGCTTTCACCAAGCGATAGTTACCAAAATCAGTGTCATTTAACATGGATGTAAACTTCTGTGCCTTACCAAACAATGCTGTATGCACCAGTGACGCCCAATACTCTTCAGGTCAAATTAAGGCTCGAGTCTGGTTTTTGAATGCTTCGAAAAACTGTTCATGCTCTGCTTCAGCAAAACAAGGAACGAGCTGTACTGCTTTTTGCATACTTAAGCCATTTACAGTTTGTGTGAACTGCCTTCTCTCCTTCTATCAAACTCTTCCTTAGCATGTGCTCGCTGTTCCTTGGTCTGCTCAAGATTGATTTTTGCTAACTCAAGTGCCAATGAAGCTGACACGCCTCCAGATAAACCCAAAGCATCTGTTCCTTCACGAGACTGCTGGTTTTGCTCAGGTGTTGTCTCTCCCAGTCTTTTTCAGGAACATAATCGGAGATCTGCAGTTAATAGCTCCTGTAGTGGGAGTAACAGGACTCTGGTGCACCATCTCTTCTGTTTTCAGCTTTGTATGTAAAATGTCACAAAGCTACGCAACAGTAAGAGTGCTTTTATATTCAATGCCAATAGAATGAGCAATTTGCCAACAAAGCTGTAAAGAAAGCTTGGGCAGTTTTAGCAGAGTGAATGCAAACACTAATCGTCTGACTCGTATAGGTGGCTTTAACCCCAACGTAACATGCTATTGCAATACACTCAAGCAGCTATGCACGGTACGACTGCAGAATACTCACACAATAGAAAGGCTGACCAAAGTGAAGCGAATGCAAAGTTGACATGCAATAATAGGAAGTGAATGGCAAAGCTGATATCAGCAATGCCAGATAGCAAGCTATTTAAATGATACAAAGACTACCTCCTGCTCCAGCTCCTGCTCTAAGTCCAGCTCCAGCTCTCGGACAGGCTTCCTATATTACGACCCAGGTAATCAAGGTCTGTTATCCTGGGTGTAAAGGGAAGCTTGGAGCAAAATAAACACAACAGAGAACTTTGAATTATATATTTCTTCACCAAATATATATAACTTTTTACAACTATGTACACTATATATAAGAATTGGAAATATATGTGTACAACATGGTGTGTCAAGGCGAAAAGAACAGCCAGACTAGATCACTGCTTCCAACCAGCGTCTGTGCGGATATGGCAATGGTGAAACTCGTGTGACTCCACAACACAACCGCCATTGTCATACCCATCTGTGATTGAACCAAGGTACTGATTTAACGATGGGGCCCCCTGATTCGTTAAACCCTTAGCACATGGTTCACTGGTTGTGAGGCAGCCTATATGGATGTGTACATGCGCCAAATAAAGGTGACGTGCCCTTTGCATGCCACAACTCCTCACAATAAACTTTATACCCCAGGTAAGAGCTTCTAGGACAATGTAGAACAGTGCCAGATGAAATGAAGAATAAGACACGCAGCATCTTGGTATCTATTTATAGATGTTTTGCCCTTCACTGGCTTTATCAGTACAAGACTGAGGGACAGATTTCCTCATCTTTGGAATATACTGCTACATTCTTCACATTATGCTCTTGAATTGTATTGATAAAGACACTGCATGGCGTAAACTCTACAACTATGGATACCAAGTTGCTTATGTGTACAATTTTTCAACTTGTCAGTATTGTATATCATTCACATATGCTGGTACCGTAGGAAACTTAGTAGTAGTCTCCTGGACAATCATCTTATTTGGAAGTTACCCATAGTAACTTAATTGGGAATATGTTTTAGGTGTGGGTTTAAGTATAGGGTAAACAGTTTTATAAGATGTGCTCTGTAAGAGAACTCTCCAGTGTTGGAAGAGAGTTCGACTACACTCACCTGAAGGACTAGTTGAACCTCTGGACGAAAGGGGAGGTTAAAACTGGCGAGGAGTTAGGTTAGGTTAGGTAAGAACTGTCAGAAAACAAGACAAGTGTTTCCTGAAGTGGGTCTATCATGTGATGACCCGCAACTGGAGCTCTTAGTTATTTGACAGAGATCTGAGCGTGAAAATGATGATTTAATGACGACTTTCTCTTCCAGACAATCCACCAAGAAAGAATGAATTTTCATGTCAGTATATATTATCATATTAATTATTCGTATCAGTCAGAGAATATATTAATTTGTTACTGAAAACAAACATCTTCAGGAACGGGAAATTATATAGTTTCGACTGAGACTTTTGTGTGTCTGTTCTTGTTTCTCATCCACTGTAAGAATCCCATCAACAAATACGTAAATCCAGATATAAGATTGCTCATAGATTGAATAGAAAATGAAATCTATAAAAAAAATTAATTTCTAATGAAATAAATGAGAAGTTACGTTCATTCTAAGTGAGGCGTCACTTAGGTATTTAATATATAAAATGTGCTTCTCTTGCCTCTTCTTAGTCCTCTGAAGATGTGTGCAAGCACATGAAAGCGCTCAAGATTTATTTACTATTTTCATTGTTGTATTTTTTTTTCTTGTTTGAAATTTCTCGTTTAACTGTGATTTCTTCCAAGAATATCTTAAAATTATTTTCTGTACATATTACACATTCTACAGCTTTAACACTTGTTGTATACAGATGTTAGCGGCGACGTATGTGATGCTGGCTGTGGTGGCGATGGTCACGGGGAAATTAGACCCTCCTGAGAGACACTGCAAGATACTGATGCTGACTCCAGTCTCCTCCCAGAGCCACAAGAATGTGTTTATGCCTCTTGCCAGGGCTCTGGCTGACCGTGGACACCAGGTGAGACATTGCTCTTTTTTTTTGTGATAAAAAAGATATAATTTACAATTTGTAATTTTGAGATAATCAGAAGCAAAGAATTGGATCCCAACTGTTGACTATGTAGTAGTAATTTCGTTATTAAACCTGCTGCCTCTGTATTCGACTGATGCAGAGGCGAAACGTTTCAACAATCAAGACTGAGACACTTGTGGAACGTTTTTCTTATTTTTATTGAGGAAACGTTTAGCCATACAGTGGCTTCATGAGTCCAATATAGAGAAGAACAGTGGAAACAGAGGAGGAGATTGAGGTAATCAGTCCCTCAACCTGGAATCGATGTGTTCAGTCCAGTAGTCTTGAAGAAAGTGCAGAATTTGCTCGGAGAAGTTGCTTATATACAGTAGTCGTCTGAGGTGAAGCAGGAGGGGGCGGAGTCACAGTGGAACCATCCACTATATAAGTAGGTTATGTCCATCTGTTGGACAAGTGTTGCAGAAGTCCTTATATCAAGAACCCATTATATTGCAGTGTCCGAGAATATGTTGTACTTCGTTCAAGATTCGTCGATTAAACACATCGATTCTAGGCTGAGGGACTGATTTCCTTATATTTCTTCATTTCCACTGTTCTAATTTGTATTGGACTGATGAAGCCTCTGTGTGCCGAAAAATTTCCTCAAGATTCCAAACTGTTGCACAAGTATCCCAGTCTTCTACTTGTCACATATTTCACATATTTATCACATATTTCAATAATAAAAGTACCAGATGTTGCACATGTGTTGCACATGTGTCTTACTCATCAACAATAAAGGTACCAGATGTTGCACATGTGTCTTACTCATCAACAATAAAGGTACCAGATGTTGCACATGTGTTGCACATGTCTCTTACTCATCAACAATAAAGGTACCAGATGTTGCACATGTCTCTTACTCATCAACAATAAAGGTACCAGATGTTGCACATGTCTCTTACTCATCAACAATAAAGGTACCAGGTGTTGCACATGTCTCTACTCATCAACAATAAAGGTACCAGATGTTGCACATGTCTCTTACTCATCAACAATAAAGGTACCAGGTGTTGCACATGTCTCTTACTCATCAACAATAAAGGTACCAGGTGTTGCACATGTCTCTTACTCATCAACAATAAAGGTACCAGATGTTGCACATGTGTCTTACTCATCAACAATAAAGGTACCAGATGTTGCACATGTGTCAACTTCTCGGTATTTTATACCATTTTGAACTTTAATGTAGTAACAATACCTGCAGAATTAGGAGTGATTACACGAACCTGTAATGACTTTGATCTTCGTCTTCAATATTAGAAGTACATCAATCCAGTTTTGTTCAAATTTTTCAAATTTATCTAAATGTTGCATCCACATGTTTATACAGATAACAATATTGTCTGAAAACCCGACATCATCTGATTATCCCAACATCATCGAGGTCACCCACGAGCTGACGTCACAAGAACCTCCAGATATGTTTGAGTATATGAAGGACTGGAATGGTGGATGGACCTTGTTTGAGACTCTTCTTCCCGATTATGTCAAAAACTTGTACAAAGATCCCTCAGTGAAGGATCTTTATGAGAGGAGGAAAGAGTTTGATCTCTTTGTTGTAGATCATGAGTTCAATGAGGTGAGTATGGTATAAATCTTAGTAACAGATACAACAATTTGGTTTACAAAGACACGTTAGTAAATACGGGGACATATTTATTAGAAAACCTTTCAGTCGTGGGACCTTTATCACTTTTGTCCAGGTGTTTTCTTACGTATCTTTCTCAACCATTGACGTGTTTTTCTCATTAGTTTGGGATAAGAGGAAGCAAATCCATTAATAAGAACACAAGAAAGGATGAACACTGCAGCAGGCATACTAGTCTAAACTAAACAAGATTTTCTAACACTAACAAACAAACAAAAATATTTGCCCAACCCACTTTCACTGCTACCTAAGCAACAAGCGCTGATAATTCTAATAACTAGAGGGCAAGTCCTACTTTAATGCAACCCCTTTGAATCATGTATTTATCTAACCTATTACAAGGTGCCAAAGGAACCCTACTTCATAGACTGTTCCACTCACCAACTACTAGGTAGACTGTTCCCCTCATCAACTACCAGGTAGACTGTTCCATTCAACAACTACTAGATAGAGTGTCCCACTCATCAACTACTAGCTAGACTAAACAACCACTAGGTAGACTCTTGCACTCATTAACTCTTAGGTAGATGGTCTCATCCACTACATGATAGATTGTTCCACTCATCCATTACTAGGTAGACTGCTCCACTCATCCAATACTAGGTAGAATGTTCATCTCATTAACTACATGGCAGACGATTTCACTCACCAACTACTAGGAATACTGTTCAACTCATCAAATACTAGGTGGACTGCTCTACTCTTCAATTAATAGGCAGAGTGTTCCAATAATCAACTACAAGGTAGACTGTTCCACTCATCGACTACTAGTTATACTGTTCAACTAATCAACTACTAGGTAGACGGTACAATTCATCAACTACTAGGTAGACTGTTCCACTCATCAACTACTAGGTAGACTTTTCCACTCATCAACTACAAGGTAGATTGTTCCACTTATGAACTACTATGTAATCTGTTCAACTCATCAACTACTAGGTAGAGTGTTCCAATAATCATCTGTTAGGTAGATTGTTTCTCTCATCAGCTACTAGGTAGACCGTTCCACTCATCAACTGTTTGGTAGACTGTTCTTCTCATCAACTAGTAGGTAGACTGTTCCACTCGTCAACTTCTAGGTAGACTCTCCCACTCCTCAGTTACTAGGTAGACAGTCCAATTCATCAACTACTAGGTAGACTGTTCCACTCATCAACTACTAGGTAGACTATACTCCTCAACTACTAGAAATACTGTTCCACTCATCAACTACTAGGTAGACTATTTCAATAATTAACTACTAGCAATACTGTTCCACTCACCAACTGCTAGTTAGATTGTTCAACTCATCAACTAATAGGTAGAGTGTTCCAATAATCAACTACAGGGTAGACTGTTCCACTCATCAACTACTACGTATACTGTTCCACTCATCAACTACTAGGTAGACTGTTCAACTCATTAACTACTAAGTAGAGTGTTCCAATTATCAACTACAAGGTAGGCTGATCCACTCTTCAACTACTAGGTAGACTGTTCCACTCACCAACTACTAGGTCGACTGTTCAACTAGTCTTCTACTAGATAAGAATGTTCCACTCATCAACCACTAGGTAAACTATTCCACTCATCAACTACTAGGTAGACTGTCTCACTCATCAACTACTAGATAAGAGTGTTCAGTTCATCAACTAGTAGGCTTACTCTTCCACTTGTCAACTACTAGGTACACTGTTCCACTCACCAACTACTAAGTAGACTTCTCCACTTCTCAACTGCTAGGTAGACTATTTCACTCATCAACTACTAGATAGACTGTTCTACTCATCAACTACTAGGTATACTGTTGCGACCATCAACTCTACAACTACTAGGTAGAGTGTTAAAATAATCAACTACAAGGTAGACTGCTCCACTCATCAACTACTAGGTAGACTGTTCCACTCATCAACTACTAGGTAGAATGAACATCAAAATGGTATACAATACCGGCAGGTTGGTAGGTAAGACACATAAGCAACAGTTAGGCAACTTTATTCCGAAACGTTTCGCCTACACAGTAGGCTTCTTCAGTCGAATACAGAAAGTAGGCAGGAACAGTAGAGATGTGGAGACGATGTAATCAGTCCATCACCCTTGAAGTAGTAGAATTTCAGGTTGTCAGTCCCTCAAATTCAGGGCTGAGGGACTGACAACCTCAAATTCTACTACTTCAAGGGTGATGGACTGATTACATCGTCTTCTCTACTGTTCCTGCCTACTTTCTGTATTCGACTGAAGAAGCCTACTGTGTAGGCGAAACGTTTCGGAATAAAGTTGCCTAACTGTTGCCTATGTGTCTTACCTAGCTACTAGTAGAATGTTCAACTCATCAACGACTAGGTATAGTTCTTCAATAATCAACTGCTAGGTAGACTGTTCCACTCATCAGCTACTAGGTAGATTGTTCCACTCATCATCTACTAGGTAAGAGTGTTCAGTTCATCAATTACTAGGCATACTGTTCCACTCATCAGCTACTAGGTAGACTGTCCCTCTCATCAACTATTAGGCAGACTGTTCCACTCATCAACTTCTAGATAGAGTGTTCCACTCATCAGCTACTAGTTAGGAGTGTTCCACTCATCAGCTACTAGGTAGAGTGTTCCACTCATGAACTGCTAGGTAGAGTTTTCCTTTCATCAAACAAGTAGGCAGTGGGTTCCATTCATGAAGTACTATGTAGACCGTTCCACTTATCAAATACTAGGTAGACTCTTCCTCTCATCAACTACTACGTACGAGTATTCTACTCATCAACTAGTAGGTGGACTGTTCCACTCATCAACAAGTAGGTAGACTGTTCCGCTCTTCTACTACTAGGAAGACTGTTCCACTTATCAACTACTAGGTAGACTGTTCCACTCATCAACTACTAGGTAGACTGTTCCACTCTTCAACTACCAGGTAGATTGTCCCACTCATCAACTACTGGGTAAGAGTATTTCACACATCACCTACTAGATAGAATGTTCCAATCATGCTCTATTTGGAAGACTGTTCACCTGATTCAGAACTAGGTACACTGTTCCATTTATCAACTAATTGGTAGAGTGATCCATTCATCAGCTACTAGGAACAGTGTTCCACTGATCAACTACTAAGTAGACCGTTCTTCTCATCGAGTACTAGGTAGACGGTTTCACTCAATAACTAATAGGGTGTCCCATTCATCAATTACTAGGAAGAGTGTTTCACTTATCCCTCAGCAGGTAGACTGTTCCATTCATAAACTACTAGGTAGACTTTTTCTCTCATCATCTACTAGATAGATTCTCCCATTCATCATCAACTAGGTAATTGTGTTCCATTCATCAACTACTAGGAAGATTGTTCCACTCATCAACTGCTATGTAGACTGTCCCATTCATCAACTACTAGGTAAGAGTGTTCCACTCATCATCTACTAGGTAAGAATGTTCCACTCATCAACTACTAGGTAAACTGTTCCACTCATCAACTGCTAGGTAGTGTTCCTCTAATCAATTACTAGGTAGACTGTTCCAATCATCAACTATTGGGTAGACTGTTCCACTCATCAGGTATAAGGCAGACTGTCCACTAATCAACTACTAGGCAGACTGTCCAATTCATCAGTTACTAGAAAGACTGTCCCACTCATCGACCACAAGCTAGGTTGTCACACTCAACTAGGTAAGAGTGTTCCAATCATCAACTACTAGGTAAGAGCGTTCCACTCATCAACTACTAGGTAGACATTTCCACTAGTCAACTACTCGGTAGACTCTACACTCATCAGCTGCTAGGGACAATGTCCCATTCATCAACTACTAGGTAAGAGTGTTCCACACATCAGCTACTAGGTATGAGTGTTACATTCATCAACTACAATGTAAGATTGTTCCACTCATCAACTACTCGGTGAGAGTGTTCCGCTCATCATCTACTCGGTAGACTCTACACTCATCAACTCCTATGTAGGCTGTCCCATTCATCAACTTCTAAGTAGACTGTCCAACTCATCAACTACTAAGTAAACTGTCCCATTCCTAAACTACTAGGTAAGAGTGTTCCACTCACGATCTACTTTGTAAGAAGCTCCACTCATCAAGTATTAGGTAGATTGTTCCACTCATCCTCTACTAGGTATACTGTTCCTCTCATCATCTACTACGTAGACTGCTCCACTCATCAAACACTAGGTAGACTGTCCCCTCACCAACAATTAGGTAGAGTGTTCCCATTATCAACTAGAAGGTAGACTGCTCCGCTCATCAATTACTAGGTAGCCTGTTTCACTCAAACAATACTAGGTGGACTGTCCAATTCATTAACTACTAAGTAGAGTATTCCACTCATCAACTACTAGGTAGAGTATTCCACTCATCAACTACTAGGTAGACTGTTCCATTCAGCAACTACTTGGTAAGAATATGCCACTCATCAACTACTAAGTAGACTGTTCCACTCATCTACTGCTAGGTAGACTCTTCCACTTATCAACTGCTAGGTAGACTCTTCCACTCATCAACTACTAGGAAGAGCGTTGCACTCATTAGCTAGTAGGTAGAGTGTCCCACTCATCAACTACTAGTTACACTGTTGCACTCATCTACTACTAGGTAGAATGTTAAATTCATCAACTCCTAGATAGACTCTTCCGCTCATCAACTACTAGGAAGAGTGTTCCACTCATCAACTATTAGGTAGAGTGTTCCACTTATCAAGTACTAGTTACACTGTTCCACTCTCAACTACCACTCTCAACCACTAGGTAGAGAGTTCCACTCATCAGCTACTAGTTACACTGTTCCACTCATCAATTACAAAGTAGACTGTTCCTCTCATTCATTACTAGGTAGACTGTTATATTCATCAACTACTAGTTAGAGTATTCCACTCACCACCTACTAGGTAGAATGTTCCACTCATCAACTACTAGGCAGATTGTTCTTCTCATAGAGTACTAGGTAGTCTGTTCCATTCGTCAA